TAAAAGCGTCAGCGAATCAAACCTGCCTGCTTGATTTGATAAATCAACAAAATGAAACGAAAAAAAACCCATCCATTGCGAGTCGCAATTTGCGACCATAGAAAAAGACAAAAGTATAGAACGTTTAATAGGTACTATAAACACGCATGTTATTACAAAGCATGAATTAAGTACGCGAAGCAACAATACATCAAAATGACATAAGTGTATGCTTTCGTTAAATATTTGTGAATGCAACAACATTCAACAACCATAAGTGGCCATAAGCTATGATGCACAGCCCATCAACTCTTTCGTACGCATTTGTTTACACATTGAAATTCAAATTTCACGTTTATGTTATTTTTTATTGGGGGAGGGGGGTGGACTAAGTGTGTGTGTATGCGCGAACGAGTCAATCGATGTTTACTCGAGCAACAGAGCTCGGCGCCGAAAAGCAACGAAATTATTTTTGGTTTAAACACAAAACGAAATGAGACATCAACTACAAATTGAGTGCGATTGCAATAAATCGTTAAGGGTTTCAAATGCCAAAATGGCTCTGTGATATCGGCATTTGAAATGTGTAAACATAAATCGTGCACACTATACATATACCAAGTTGCTAAACGATGTGACGTGCTGTTCAATATTAAATCGATATACAAACACGGTTTACACTAGTATCGAATGAAATGGAATTGAATCGTGTAATTTCATGAAGCACAACACTCTATATCGCCTCCGTTCATGATAAATTTATAAGCGGAAATATGTTCTGAAGTTATCATTTCCGCTACACTCTACCCACAGGTATAAAGTGTATTCTCACACATTCACATTATCAAAATATCAACTGCATATCCATATATAGCATGGCCAGACACTCTCACTGCTAAAGATCCGCTGGGGTTGGTAATTTTATTATTGTTTCAATACAATAGACGTGCCTCTCGACCGGCAGGAATAATGTAATTGCTTTTTTTTTTAAAAAAAAGAAAGAAAAATAGAACCATGGTGCAAGTTAAGCACAGCAAAAATTTAATTAAAACTGGAGTTTGAATCATCATTTTGATACCCCTGCATTTATAAAAGAAATACCACTGAGACAAAGACCAAGTGAACGTCGAAAAGAGAATGTGTGTTGGGTGTGAGTATGCATATATGATTTAAGTCTGTTGCCAATTATTATCATCAAAATATATAGAGAATTCGAAGCGCCACTGACTAAAATCCATGTCAAAGCCCTTGAGTACAAATATCGCGTGAGAACGTAAATAGAAATCAATGATAAAATACGGTTGTGAAATGTCGCACGCATCGTCTCGAATAACAGCAACGACAACAAAGGCAACGATTCATGCAGAACGCCAATATGAATGAGAAATAAATCATTTTTGTGTTTTGTTACTATTCTCATCTCTTCTAAATGATGCAATTACTGGAAAATTGTGTTAAAGCAGATCAATTGTCATTTGATGTGAAAAGTATTTGTGTGCACGCCTCAGGCAATAAAACAACACATCGAAGGTGCGCGAATACAATCGAATGAAAATGAAATGCCAGTCAGAGCAGCAATGCTTTTGACAAAAGCAGAAAAAAGTAACATTGTGAACGATGAATGTCACAAACTCCATTATTGAATCAATATAAATATGCGTGTATTCAAGTAAAATTGTTGTATTACATTATTCACCCTCATTTTCCATTCTGTCACGCACACACTAAATGTCGGTTGTCATACATTTATTCAAAAGCTCAAAGCCGATTCCTTCCGACACTTTGCCTGTTGTTTCGCTTCTTCTTCCATTCCATTGCGACCAATTCAGCCGCTGTGCCAAAAACATATTGGCGAATGGGAAAAACAAAGAAAAAAAAACGAAAATAAATTCTATTATATCTCTATTTTGTAAAAAGCAAACGAAGACATTACGATGAGAATTTCATATTGATGTAAATTTTCCACACCGACGCTTTATCGATCTTATGTACACAAATTCAATGAATTTTCATCAAAAAATTTTTTTATAGCAAATCTGTGAAAGCTCCGGCTTAATTTATATGCGTGCCGTTGTGCACATCAAAACAAATATGGCAAACAAAACAAAAGAGACGAAAAGAAGACGGTATATTTAAACGTTGTGGAGGAATAGCCGCATATGAAGCAACAAACAACCGACAAATAAAATGACAATGAGGCCAATATGCGAACTGGATAGAATAACATAGTCAATAACAACGAGGGAAAAAAAATACTGCAGACTACAGACATGACAAAAGCAGCTGCCAGAAATCTCATTGAGTGAAACAAACAAACACACACACAAATTTACGACTGCGGTGAAATCAGCAAATGAGCGAAATAAAAAATTCAAAGCTATAAACTAACAGGAGAACGAAAAAAATAGAGTCAAATGACTCATCCATACAAAAATGATGAATGTGTCTGCTGTGTTTAACCTGTTTTTTATTTCTTGGTTTAGAACCGAAAAAAAGAGAAATAAATGAAAATCAAAATGGCATGAAAAATTCTTTGGATTTACCCAAAATGTACAAAAAATTGTCGTTTGATCAATTCGAGTAGCGTTGAAGCGCAAAATTCTCTTACTCTAGTTCAATGACTCATTTAAATGAGATACCTTCGTCGTTTCGATGTTGACATTTTATAAAAACTTACTGTACTGGCACTTTCACCATGACTATTTTTCTTCTCTTTTTTTCGAACCAACATAGTTGAGATTAGAATTCATGATGGCTGGTTGAACAACATTTATGCGATGATTGTATAAGGCAATCAGTAGTGCTTGTTTAACAAAATCATGACCGTGTGACTCGTACACAATATCCAGAAAAAAAATGGTCGAGCGAAAGGCAACAACAAAAAAATTCCAATTATAAATATAACTTATTGATAAACGTCTTTGATAGCTTGTTACCGGCCTACACAAACAAAATCAAATAGACCACCGTTCGGTACACACCGTTTGATTTGTACCTGACATTCTTTTTTCCCTTATCAATTTAAATATTTAACGCTCTTTTATGTTATCGATTATTAACAATAGCCAATGGTATATGTTTAAGTATTTTGAAGTCGGCCAACGGCATCGACAAACCCAGTTCAAGTTTGTTGGAGGTCTTGGAACTCGGACACTTTGTTGTTATGTGTGTTTGATTCGCCGTATCTTTTTGATCTAGCTTCAAATTTGTTTCATTTTTCACTCGTTTTCCGGATCGCTGAATATTGAAACATCTGTATTGAAACGTTTGAACTCTTCCGTTTAAAACACAACAAGTGTATAATAAGTTTATAACCATTCAGCAAAATGTGTGTTTGACATTGCGATTGATGTTAAACATAAATAATAAATGAACTTTGATATCACGCTGAAGATAAATAGACACCGGACGAACGACCCAACGAATGAACGAATAAATGACGTCATAGTAGAACAACAACAACATTGAATTGGAATTAACGACCAAAATCGCAAACATAAAGTCGTAGCCAAAATCACATTAAGCTTTTCCAGCTGTATATCATATTAAATTAAATCAGTTCAACATTTGATTCTCGATACTAAAATAAACCCTATTACACGCCCGCGTTTTCATTTTTTCACTCTTTCGTCCTCCGTTTTCACCCTACCACCATTTCAAAGTTCTCACATTGGTCCAGAAATAAGTGAGCGTAGAAAGGTTCTTATAAAACTAACGTAATTATAGTATGATACAGTAAATCCCTTAAAGCGGAAAATAACCAACAATGGTTGGTGCTATCCCACACATTGTTTCCATTTTATTTATTAATCAATAGATTGTGAGCAGTACGTCAATAGCATTTAACATCTAATTGAACATATTATCAAAAGATATATCATCAAGCTTATTATATCGAAGCAGCTATGGCAGCAATAAGATATGGTGTTGTCTTTTAATTAATTGGTCCCGCTCATTTTCTGTTCGATTGATTTCATTTTCTTTGGTTAACTTTTAATTGGTATTGTATTCCTTTCGGATGAATCGGTCAAATCAAAGTTAAAACGACATCCATGTGTTGGATTGCTATTGGTGTATCGCCTAATTATTCCACTTCAATTATTTCTGTTGGCCAGTATTTTTTTCCCGGTGGGTTTTATAAGTTTCGTCAATCCATTAGAAATGGAATAATAAAGGCAATGACAAAAATATACCGGGCACAAGGCATATGAAAGCAAAAACTAAAATAAATGTCTTCAATAAATCATTGAGTATAATGAATATTTGCACGGAAATCTTTATTCAGACAATCCGCTCTCTCGAGTGCACAGATAGAAAAATCGTATACTCGCCGAAACACGATTTTCTCATTGTCCACTTCATCTGTACATTATATCTCTATATTTCTCGTTGATGTTTTTTTTTCCTCGGACAGACGCTATTTGCCTATACCGAGCTTTATCTATTACAAGGGTCGCCTCATTTTAACATCATCACAATTTATTATGCAGAATTAGATTTATTTTTCATTTTGGCAAGTACGGAGCAGTTGTCCACACAACATTATGATCATTTCTTTTCGTACTTTATTTGCTGTTCTGAGCACATAAATGATGTCAAAGATGCTGCGTGTAATAAGTACGTGTTTTTGTATGATAGATAATAATGATTGCTTTGATTTAGTGACACGATAGCGTAATAAATTCACTGAATCTATTTTGTGCACATTTTGAACAAGCCATCTTTTATATTCAAGTGCAAGACGGTTTCGGTCTATGTACGTGATTCAGCAAAAATATATATTTAAATATGTTGCTCCAGCATTTACAGTGAATCCAAGGCAAATAATACCAATATAAAATTGTATTTGAATTGATGGGGAAAAAAGTGAAATCGCTTTATTTAGAAATCATCACATTATTAAATAAATTAGAATAAAATGAAATCTTTTTTGACAGGAATTCGATTTATTTGTTTGTTTTTCATTGATACCAAATATGGAGATTCGATTGATAAACAATGTTATTTCTTTTCATTCACAGACAAAAATGGTCAACGTCCACCGCGAAAAGCGTACGGCCGTCTCAGTGTTGATTCCGATGAAAACTGTAATCGAACGACGAATTCATCGAACCGAAGCCAAAAATACAACAATCCATTCGATGAGCTAGACAATTTTGATATTCTCGATGATTCGGCCAAATGTTCGCCCAACGACAATTGCAGCAATTCAACGAAAACCGTACAAGAACATAATGACAACGAGTCGGACATTGAATTGGATACAGCATCGTCGAAAAGCAACAACAACGAACGTCACGAGAGCACAATTAACCGATTACAGGCAATGGTCATATCCGATGACGATGATTATGGTAAATAGTCAGAAAAAAATCATCATCAGTTTTGAATATTTCTCTGTTTGTCTCTCTTTCCCTGACGTATTTTCCCTTTAGTGTCAATTGCGACCAAAAAAAATAACTGGCACAGACAACTCTCGCTTGGAACGAATGAACAACAACAATTACAGCAATGATAATAACAAAAATAAATCTAATAAAATGCGGAGAATAATCGCGACGGTCAACATATGTGCATTGAATGAATACGCTCGTGCAAATTTTCATATTTCAACATCCGCTCTGCTGGTCGGAAATAATTTCCAATTCAAATCCACCTCTTTCTTTCCACCTCTCTCTCTCTCTCTCTGTGTGTGTGCTTTTATTCATTTTCATTTTTTCCTTCCACGCTGAGCTTTGTTGACATGGCTCCATGTCAAATTATTAGTTTGCCAAATGTGCCAAAAAGGGTGCTATGTTAAAACCTGTTACAATATTGCCAAAAAAAAATAAAACGAAATACAATAAATATAAGTGCTCATATGAGACCCAAATGTGAATTAGTTTATAACCCGGTTTTCTTTTTGCCATAATGTGTTTGCATATCTCTTGTGTATAATTAACACGCAGAATTGTTTTTCTAGCAAATAGATTTCTGCTGTTATTGTTTGCAAAATGTTGGCGCATCTACATCTCATCTCGTTTACTCAGCGCTTATTACATTTAAAGCGTTTAATATGACTTTTTACTTCCTCATTGTTTTATTTGCATGTTTATTTATCCTTTTTTTTATTCTTTTCATCATTTGGTTGTGATGATTTTGTTTTATTGTTTGCATATCTCACTCTCTCTCTATCTCTGTCAGGAAAGAGCAGAATTGAAGTTGGAATTCATTTGTTATCCCCTCAAATATGTTGCGAATCCGACAAAAGAAAAAAGGTATCCGAAAAAAAACGATGTTGTGTGACTGTTTTTGTTCACGTTCGTTTTTTTGTCGTCTATTTCGCCACTTTCGTTGATGCGTTTTCTCAAAGCAATTTGTATGCTTGTTTCTTATTTCTGTTGCATTTTATACATTTTAGTTTCCTCTCTTTTTTTACCAACCATTATCACTTATTTTTGTTGCAGTACACTTTATGTTGTGTACATGTGTGCGTGCATTTTACAAAGCTTAGAATGCACATACCATTCAAATTTAACAATGTGATGTTTATACAAACGTTCTACATCAGAGCATATAGACAAATCTAGGGGCATTTTACTATATGCGAATGCCATTTTATACGGAATATATGACGAGTATCACTTACAGTCGGCTATCAACGCGACTCGATTTGAGAAGCGCCATCTCTTTCACGCCAGGTTCTCATATATTTTTTTCTTGCAAATATTTTTTTCTAGCAAAATTGTATAAATTGAATAAGTTTTGCAATAATAATAACGAAAATAATTAATAGAATTTATAATAAATAAAAAAAATTGAAAAAACACACAAATATTTTATATTATATGATTCACCAGAATAGCTTCACTTCGTGTTGTTTACGTTGTTTCTTTTGACAGATATCAATGTTTGACAAATACATATTTTCTCCACGTAACCATCTCTACATGGTCTACAAGGCAAAGCTACATATCATATAATATAAAATATTTGTGTGTTTTTTTCAATTTTTTTTATTTATTATAAATTCTATTAATTATTTTCGTTATTATTATTGCAAAACTTATTCAATTTATACAATTTTGCAATTTTATTTGCAAGAAAAAAATATATTAGAACCTGGCGTGAAAGAGATGGCGCTTCTTAAATCGAGTCGCGTTCAAATACATTGTCAATATACAACGCAAGTGATACTCGATATATGAACATTTTCCTATTCATACATGAAATATACGACGTAAAGTATATTCATCCGCATCAACATCTATGAAAATTCGTACATTTCATTCGCAACCATTCGCGAATGCCGCATACGTCTTGCTAGATGCGAAAAAACTGTCGTGTGACATTTGTACATACACATTGCTGTGTTCAGTTTGTCGTGGCAGTATTAAACACAATATCATTGTTCTCAACTAAATTTGAAAAACAGTTGAAGAAAAAAATACAAGATTATTTGTTGAATATTATTTTAGAAGCCGTATTCGATTCGAAAAGTGAGATTTTAGAAAAAAATTCAGATAATATAAAAGAAATTGAAAGTTACGTCAATGAAAATAAAAACCTTTCACACGGCACCGTTTACAGTGATTATATTATGAGTGGATGAGTGGCAAAGATTTATTTACCATTTTAGAAAAATTTCACTCAATATTACCAAAAAAATATCGATTCGGCCTGAATCTCTGTCACCTAATCTGTCACTTTGACTTTTTGAATGTTAAAATATGACTTTTCATATGCGCCATCCGCAAAATGTGTATGAAACATTCGACACCATTCGCAAAATTCGTATGAAACATTCGCTCGCATATGGAACATTCGTATAAGTCGGAACCCCCTAGAGACAAATGCACATGCACACTACCCACTCATCTCCACCGCACAACATACCACACGTTTTCCACATTTCATAATGTTTGTTAAGTTTTAATTTTTCTGCTCTTTAAACTCTCTATCTTCATTTTGTACATAAAATGTGTTCAAGTGCCGAAACAAAAATTCAAGCAAAAAAAAGAAACTGATAAACATTTCATGTGTGTGTGTGTGTGTGTGTGTGTGTGTGTGTGCCGTCAGCACATAACATGACATCGAAAATTGCAACACAATTTATATTCTCCACACGGTTGTTTCCTTATATTTGCCTATGTTTTATACACACTATATTTTCTTCATTTTCAGATGAATCGCTGACTTGTAATGTTTGCGATCGGGCATTTCATTGTCATCGTCAACTAGCGTCGCATCAGCAGAAGAAACGGCATTTCGGGTATGTTTTCAGAAATATTCCGTAGAGTTTTATTCCAAGCAATGGTTGCTTTTCAGTTGCCAAATTGTGACCATTACACTGAACTTTTATCTCCTTCGAGTTTTCACTTGTCAAAACGAAATAAAAATAAAACTGTCTGACATACACTTACTCAAGTTGTCATAATTTATAATACAGTACTTGGTTCTTTATTTTTATTTTGATCGTTATAGTTGCAACGGTTGTGACACTTTATTTCCAAGTCTTATGCTGTTAGAACATCACAAAGAGGAATATGAACATTGGAGCGATGAAGATGACGACGATAGACTACCACCATGTTGTCGACGCAATCGAGACGAATACACTGACACCGATTCATTTACAAGCGAAGCTGAAAGCGAGGATCTTGAACGACTATTGTAAGTCACCCGAATGAAAAATGCATTCACAAAGCTCAAACAAATAAGCAAAAAGGGAGGAAAACATGAACAAATAAAAAATAAAACATATCCATTCGATCCAGCATCAATTGAGATTGTTGTACATAAAAAAAATGATGAAATTCTGGGATGAAAATTATATACACTCAATAATAAACAAGCAGCAAACGAAAAAAAAAACCCACATACTTTGAATATAGCATTGCATGCAACACTCACCATAGAAGTGTAATGTCAATCATCATGACTGAGAGATGTCAAATTGTAAAAACGCCATCTGGTGACGTGTGCGAATTGTGGTTGAAAACAACCGATATGAAAATTTAGTCAAGACCCCATCTAACAATTCTGTCTTTGTAATTACACACATTGATAATCACGTCAACAGATGGCGCATTATTGTGCGACTTTTTTCTCGCCTATATTTATATACAGGGACTCATGGTGGTTGTGTAATGTGTATTTTCACAATTCCCTGCAATGAAGGTTTTTAATTTTTGTCAAACGAATTACATTTTCATGTAAAGATGTTTACACATTATTTGTATGACAATCTTTTTATTATCCTGATTTTAATTCAATAACATGCGCTTCGCGTATATGAGTGAATATGATTTTTTGTATTAAATGCATAGCAAATATATATAAAAAAAAAGAGAATTTTTATTTTTCTATCCAAAGAAAAAAAAACACACACGCATACACACTCATTACGAACGCAACATGCAATCAATAAAATCAACTCCTCTAATTCCATGAAATTACTGAAATGCACAACACAATAAGAACGAATGCATAGTGCATAATATTCTAAGCTCAGAAGGGGATTTAAATTTAAAATATATTGATGATGATAACGATGATGACTTTTGAATGTTCATTTTATTCGTAAATTGATAAGATTAACCTTTTTCATTCGCCGGCCATAGTTTGAGATGTCATGTAATCTTATCTCAGATGATATAACGGTAAAAACCAACAGTAAATTTAAAAAAAATGCATAATGTAGAAGATTTAATGTCTTTTTTCCCCAATGTAGCATCAAATTGCACGAATTTAAATGTAAACATATAAACTTAGTGCTGAAATGCCTAATGTACTCATCACTCTGCAAACATTTCGTTTCCGTTCAACTTGAAAAGAAAAAACGGATGCTAACATATCTTTGTGTAACAAGTTAATTTCAGTTAGTTTGTGTTAAGTTAGATTCTTGATTTAATTTATTTGAATGGAGAACGACAAATAAACAAAACAAATACAAAAAAAAAAACATTTGGTCCTTAGTTCCAGTGCTATTAGAAACCATAAAAATTTAGTTAGTAAGATTAATAACAATTTTTAAGGAAAACTACAATGAAAATATGTGTACAACATGAAACCAATATTCACTAATCATGTGTATTTAAATGAATGCCAAAACATTTTTCGAAAATGTTTTTTCCCGACGAACGTTTTCTCGGGAATTTTTCTTGAATTTTCGGCAAAACGTTTGTTCGAAAATATTCTGGCATTCATTTAAATTGTTCATTTAGAAAGATATCCAATGATGATTACTAATAACAGCATTCTCAGTTGATATTGTTGTCATTTTGAAGTTTATGTTGATAACGACTATTCTACTGTCCATGTGAATCAACACTGAAAATAATAATCGAAACAAGTGTTTTCTTTCAGCATTTTCACTTCATTGTTGCTCAAGCAAATCTTTAAAATATATGTATATGAATGTTGATTTTATATGTATGTCTTCTTTTGTACTAATTTAATGATATGGACTCGTACATATAATGATTTGTTTTTGTCACACATAAAAATTTAATATTCCATCGAATGCAGTTACATTTTTATTTGCACAATTGCAAAATGACACATTTTAAACAATGCTGGAAAATTGTAAACAATGCGAATAAGGGTAAGATATAAAGAAGACGACAAATTTGAACGAAAAACAATGGCATCTAAAAAAAATATGTGTAAAGATAATGACGAATTGGAATGAAAATGTGAAGGCTGAAGAATATGAGCTAAAAAGAACCAACAAAAGAAGCAGGATTATACAGTATAACAGATATTATACCAAATCATGATATTTATTTTAAGATTCGATTAACTGATTCATCGTCTGAGAATGTTGTTATTTAAATATATATATGAAATGAAGAATATTAATTTTTAAATAGAAAAAAGTGGGAAACTTAACTTAAAAACAAAACCAAAAAAAAATAACAGCATTGTACTGTATTTATTACAGAGAAAAACCAAAAATTATTTGTGACTTAAAGGAATACTAATAAAAAGAATATATTTATTGTATAAAACGACAATGGCATTTTATTTGATTGTTTTCGTTTTGTAACTTTACAGCTTTTTATAGGTGCAACGTATTGTGGTTGTGGCTCCAATGCAATTTTCGAACGTATTTAGCGAACGAATTATACTTAACTGTTGTTTTTGTTTTGTTTTTGTTTTCATTGTACAAACTAACTCGACACAATATCAAATTGTTGGGTTTTGTCTTTTAAACAATGGGCAATTAAATTTTCGACAATACTTAGTTTTAAATGGATTTTGTGCTGTATGCAAATCAGAGAAAATGCTTGAAACGGTTTCAAATCATGCATCGTGTATTTGCTGAAATAGCTAAATGTGAAGCAGATATTCGGTACACGAAATCGTTATAGCACATCAGCATAATATTATTATGCATTATTCAAGTACGATGAGAGCTAGTGAATTGTGATTGAAACGGCATTTTGGTATACGAATCGCAGGGGCTTACGTCATTTAGTCGAAATTCTAATACATGTCCATAAAATCACCACGACATTTTCACATCAATTATGATATACGTTCCGTATTTGTGTGTTAGATGAACTTCGGTCGAAGAGTTTTTCTGTCGATTTGTGTATGCAATGCATGCATACAAATTATGAATTACAAACATTTCTTCCAAAACGAAATTCTTTACTTTCACAAATATATACAATATGCAAATTTCCTCTAGACCTAACATGCTAACTATTTCCGTACATGGAATATGTTGACGCTTTGGTCTTTTCTCGATTGCTAATGCACAGGTGCTCCATATGGACGCAATAAAATACAACTACGTTGGCAAATACATATTACTAGTTTGTAATATAACATTCATGGGGGAAAATGGTATGGAAATCAATATGTATGGGTACGCAGTTTGAATTGATATTCTCCATTTCACATACTATTTGTAAGTCAATAAGCTTAAATAAAGCACAATGCAAATGTTCTTGTTCGCTGGTTCACATCACATTTCATTTCAACTTTTCTCCCTCTCTATCTCTCTCTCTCTCCATCCATTTGCTTATACATTTTTTTGTTCAATATGTTTACTTTTCATTCCCACTGTTTCCCTCTTATTCGATATTTCTACCTATCATTCGATTTTATTCATTTATATCCCCCATCGGCAATTTATTCTAATATAATAATACAAGCGATTACAATACAGGAGAATTTTTATATATCTGACGAGTAAAAAAGTTCAACGCATGTGTTTCGGATTGAATGTGGTTAATATTGAAGCTAGACTTTTACGATGGTAAGTGTAATTTGAATTCATTCGACTATTGAACGACGATCGAATCTTCTTTGTTGGTTCATCAAAACTGCATAGTTGTCAATGAACACATTCGTTAGAACATTTGCACCAAGATGACATGAGTCCAGTGAATGGACAATGTACGGGGGCCAGAGAATTTCTATTTATTTCTGAACAAGAATATTATTTTGGCTTGAACGCTAACAAACATCAAGCGGAGCCGTTCATTAGCAACTCTGATTTGCAGTAGTGAAAGCGCGATATTTGAGACCTTGAATCTTTTACTTTCAGACATAATTAATACAAACACAAGATCACATCCACATGTGATATTTATCCATCAAAATCATTAACAACTGAATTCTCATAAATTTCAATTTGAAAAGTGATAAGAGAACTAAAAAAATATTATCGATTTTTTGTCACAAACAGTACAAAAAAGGACTCATCAATTTCGTTTTTTGTAGCGACTATATCAATTAATTGAGCTTAAAATCATACTGCGGTTGACAAGAATTGTATTCGGTGCTGAAACGGTTTTTTTTAACTCCAACTTTCGTCGATATACAATGTTAACAAATCTCCATTATCATGCGAACATTCCATTTTATTCAAAATATATTTTCCATCACAGTAGAATGGAGTAATTAAAATTGACAAATTTTTATACATTTTTTTCATTAATTTCTCATGTATTTGTTATTCTATTATGTTTGTTATTGTCGTTTTAGTGATAGAAAATCCAATTATAAATATTATTTGATGCAGAAGTTTGAGTTTGAAAATTAATTTTAAAACTCCATGATATTGTCATTTGTCGAGATCTGTTTTTAAAAGAGTATTTGCTGAAAAAATCATAAACATAAACAGTAAAAAATGTAATAAGTGGAACCACTCATAAAGAAAACCTCAAAAGAGTGGAATTTTTTTGGCACCGTATGTCTTAATTATTGAGATATTTGACTTTAAATTATTCCCACGGTGTCCTATATCCCAGCAAACAAAAACATAACATTTTTAATACATTTTAACAATGAAAATTGTATCACTTTGACCTATTTTAGTGGTTAATTTCGTTTCAAACAGAAGGTTAATTATAGGCATGCATTTTTCAAATGGATTTTTATAGTCGGAGCTCATGTTGATCATATATCCAGTACAACATTGGCTGATAGCCCCAAAACGTTCTTAATAAGAATTTCTTATGTTCGTTCAAAACAAAAATAACCCGTAAAATACATCCGCGCTTAAAACTAAACGCTTGCGATTATTCCTGCCCAGACATTATAATGAGATATTTTCAGCCAGATGAATCAGCTCAGCCAGATATCGTCAGGAGCTGAAATTTAGTGAAGATAATAGAAGGTAGAGTAAGAACAATAGAAGTGATTGTTATAGTTATAAAAACACTTCCATTGTTACAATCACGATAACAATTACTTGCACTGTTTTTATTCCATTTCAGCGCCTGACGTTAGCTGCCTGAACTGATTGTCAGGTGAGAAAAAAAAGATGTCAAAATGCCAATTCAGTCTGGTTGCTTTGAATTTTGCGATGTCTATTTTCTCAGAGAACAACACATTTTACGGAGTAGACATAAAATCAGCAAACTATGAGAATGTCGTATAGGTAGTTATGAGATTTTTTTAATTCAACTCAAATTAAGTGGATACAAATATTCGAGACAGTCTGTTTAGTTTCTCCGCTTCTTTTAAAATCAAAGCTTGGAAATGACAAGTAACAATGTTAACAACGCTACTATTTCCACTTAAGTGATTGTCACAAAAACTATTGCTAGCATAATAGTGAATATATTATATGTTGTCAAGATCGTATCACTTCCCTGTCGTAAGTCGATGAGATAACTGTTCTGTGTAAAGTACTATCTTGTCGTGTTAGGATAGATCTAGTAGTAATTTCACTGAGAACACTACTTACTATTGTTTGTAATAAATGAAATAATCGTTTCTTTGTTGATACTGAGTATGATAACAAATACAACGTTTATTCAATATTTTCTGATTGAAAGTACATAGTTCAAACAAAGAGCTGTTTTTCAGAAGCTTCTAGTTAAACTACCAAGCAAATTGCCAACTCCACTGTTAGCACCACCACTTAATCCACCAAGTAGACCATTGAGCAAACCACCAGCGACACCATTACCTGTGAAATTTAAGAATAATACTCATTTATTTAATTCATAAAACAAGGTTTAAGTTTATCTCAAATTCTCAAATGAGAAAATATTAATATTTTCAGCGAGAATATTCAAAAATATAAATTCAGTGTATTACCTCCGAGTAAACCACCCAATAGTGCGTTCAATAGACCAACAACACCGACTATAATTTGGTTTACAGTACCGCTCAGAACTTGAACAGGAGTGACGGCCAAGAGTTGTGGTACGATAGATCCAATCAATCCAACCAATTTTTCAGGAGAAATACTTCCACCGCCTAATGAACCCAAAAGCTTTTGAAGTGGCGCAAGAACACCAGTAACACTGCCAATGGAGGATGGAAGTTGACCTGAGAGCGAACCACCCGTCACTCCAGCGACAGCTGAAAAAATTTCATTGAGATTGGCATTGGAATTCATTCCACCGAGTACATTCAACAGAGAAGAAACATCGAGTGAGCCGGTAAGGCCAGAAACTAAGCTGGAAACTAAACCCAAAGCAACATTTGGAACTTGAGCGTTGACATTTAGAAGACTTGGCACAGCTTGTCCGAGAGCAATAACAAGATTATCTACACCAAGCAATCCATTGTTTCCACTTTGTTTGCTTTCTTTGCCAACTGCACCAATAATGTCATCAACATTTACTGGTATGTTTTTAAGTTCTTCTGGATAATTCGACGACGAAAATGGCATATTGAAACCTTCGGCAAATACTTCTCCAATCTCGTATAATTTGACGTTGCCTCGTTTTTTAAATTGTTAAGTTTTTCGTACAAAACATTTGGATCGACTTTTTTATCGCCAGCTGATGACAGCAAGTTGCTGAATGCATTTAATCCATTATTTGGAGGTGATACAATGACGTTCAAAAGATTAGTGTTTTCGGGTGCAATTTCTCCAAGAACTTCTTTGATTCAAAAATGTTCTTTTGCATACTTCTCCGTTAATTGAGAAGCAACTGTGCTAACATTTACGGGTGCATTTTTTATTTCGTTTGGAAGTGCTTCTACGTTGAATGGAACATTAAATTGTTCCGCAAACATTTTCATAACTGCACCCATAGTAGTTACACCATTATTTGAACTGGCTTCTAATTCTTTGATTGGACCTTGAACCTTGTGAATGTCCATTTGACCGGCTGATAAAAACAGATCTTTCGCAATATTCAAAAGGGAACCTGGATTTCCAAGAACTGTCTCCAATAGACCACCAACAACTTTTAGCAGAATTGAAAGAACACTGTCGAATTTAATATCACCGTTAAGTAATTTCAAACCTTCGACGATCTCAAGTGGATTTGCTGGTAAGTTGGATAATTCCGATGCGATGTTTTCCTCCGATAGATCAACTCCGAATGCAGGGCCTACCGACGAGAGAACTGGGCCCAATGTCTTGACGCTTTTGGCAGCTAAGCCTTCAACTGTGGACCGAACATCAGAGGCTGGGGCGGTGGAGCTTGAAGAAGATAGTGCACTAAGAGCACTTAATACATTTTGGGAAGAAGATGATCTGGATGAATTCAGTAGTAATATTTCCGCGTTTACGATGCCAATGGCAAGGAAAATTGCGATCAATTTCTGCATTTTTCTTATTTTTTCCACTTCTTTTTCAACAACTTCGATTTCGTTTGTCCAAAGTACCAGTACAACTGATTTCCTCTGCATATTTGTCTGTATTTATATGATTTTGTAAACTGGCATTTTAGATAAAAACTTTAGCATAATACACAATATTTTCTAGAAATGTCATTCGTTCGATAAACCTAATCTCTTTGTATTTATCCATAATTTATTATAGCTGCAATTTGGATTATTCCATAAACAGATAAAATCATGTGAAAATTGGCTGATTTTTAATGTATGACGCACGCATATCAGATGATATTGCTTTAAAACACTTCATCATATGATTCAAAATCCAAATTAAACCAAAATTGTACATTGTTTATTATTAAATAAATATGTACCCAAATGTTAACCTAATTTCCAAAATTTGTATCAACAAACAACATTCTATGTTTGTAATAATATAAATTGGTCGTCAATATTTTTCAAGATCTTTTTTTTAAATGAAGTTTTGAAAATTACCTCTTCTGAAAATCCGAGCTTGCATATTACCGCGTATATAGGTGGATAATAAAATATATTTACTTTAGCAGATAAAAAATATGGATTACCATTATTGTGCACAATGGTATAATTAAAAATTAAATGAACCTACATACAATGAACTCAAAATTTATTTATTATCATCCAACTTTTTCTTTCATTCTCATCTACTGGAGCTGGCAAGAAATGATATATGTATAAATTCCATACATGGTCAAATTACAAAAAAAATAGAAGGACAACATGGCAGATTTTCTGTTACTTTGCTGTTATGCTGGCAGAAAATGCAATTAAAATTGACAATGTCATATAAGTAATTTTTTCCTACTTTTTTGTAAGAGAATAAAAAAACATTCGACCCAAAAAATCCGTGTATGTGCTTATTTTCCAATAAAATTTACAACGCCATCCATTATAAAATAAATGTTAAATATAAACATCTAGCTAACAGCTATCGTATGTACTATAGTATTTTTGGTGAATTCATCTTGTAGATCGTTGGGGGCATCAAGCTCATGTCATGCTGGTATGATTTTGCGAAAATGTTGCTTCACGAGCCGTAAATTATGACACTCAACAGATGAGATTGAAGAATGAAATAATATTAATATTCCAACAGGACGACGTCTTCATTTAATGGCATACTCAACGGTTTTTCACCTAAGCAACTTATTTAAATATTCTTTTTTTGTTATTCGTCTTTTGTTTTGGTTGCGCGGATATACAATTTAATTTATGGAAATCTATCTCAATTAAGACATTGAAATTATGTGGAATTTACGATAGTCATTTTTTCTCAAACAAGTCAAGAAGAAAAGTCCAATTTCCAATGCGAATTTATGGAACATATCTACGTTATGTATTTGAAGAAAAACATAAATCGAAACGAAAAACTAGGCAGTATAGCAGTATGGTTAATGAGGCACATTCTATAAATCATGTAAAGCTCCAACGTAATGAAAATTGTCAACAATCATTTAATAACAACTTGTAGCAGAACAAAATGACAGAGCGACGAAACGAAGAAACATATTACTTTAGGCCTTTAAATTACACCAAAGACCAACAAACAAAAAAAAAGCATTGCTTTGTAAATGCTAAATTATTCGTATGATTTGTGACAAAACAATGAAAATCACATGAACCGTGAATATGATTTGAGAACAATGCAAACATTGTGCCGAATTCTCTTTTTCTTGCTTTTATAAAATACACCGAGAAATGTAGAATGAACGATATAAACACGAACCGTACACATATTTAAATCCAAAAAGGCTTAAAATAATACCAAGTCTCACCAAGTACGTGTACTGAAAGCCAAACCAATCTTCGTGCAAACACATCCTTCTTGTCAAACTGTAAAACATAAATGGTAAATGTTTCTTTTTGATCGCAATGCCTTATTAAATGTCAAAGATTTTTGCGTGTACATTGTACATATTTTCTACGCTGTTCTGTTGGCTGGCATGCGTTTTCATTTCTTCTGGCCCCGTTGAGATTGTTTTGCCGCATTTATTTAGTGACAATACCAAGCCACCGGGGATAAATTCGGAGAGAAATGTCTACAATGAAGAGTGATGCGAACAACTCAACATGAACAACTTACGGGACATCATTATTTAGTGTGCGATTTTATGCACGTATAATATATTCATAATTCTGGTGAAAGACGTTTTATAAGCAAGTGAACCAAATGAGACTAAAGAAGAAAATATTCATGTTGAGCATTGAATGCAGTGTATTAAAATTAAACTGCCCTTCGAGAAAAACTTTGACATGCACATGGTTTGCGAATGTAGCAGCACAAGCACGTACGTATGAACATGTATCGAAATGCCGGCATTTAATTACAATTAAACTGTCACTGCGAAAATGATTTTATGGAGTTTCGCATTCAATTCAATGCAATAAAACCGTTTCGTTTCTTTTCTTTCTTTCTTTTTACACTGGTTTCGTCGTCATCGTTGTTAGTGTTGTTGTCAACGTCCCGTGTTCATCGGCAACATGAAAATTGTTGTTTACAATACACAATCATTGGTTGCCAATGTGATGCGGTCCTTTGCCATCATGAAGTGATACCATTTGGCTACAATGGTTTAGTGTGTGCGGCTGCCAAAACAAAAGAAGCTTAACATAACATTAAATATGATAACTCCAGAACATCAGGCTTTTCAGCAGACAAACTGTACACTCGAATGTTTTCAAGTTTTAAAAACAACAGCAACAACAAAATAAATTTTTTCATGTCGTTCGATTGATGAGCGAATAAAATGTCTGCAAAAATGGCTGTATTCATCATCATCATCATGATATTCTTCGACGATCAACAAAAACAACAAATTCAATAATATCTGCGCGTGAATTTACCGGTGGAGGACACAACAAGCTTTTATCTATCACTTTATCTCGACCGTAGACGGTATCAAGTGAAATGGAAAGTCATTTTAGTTGGAATCTATTTCGTTAAAAATTGAGAATGTTGTAAAGTGAATCTGCAACATCGCAAAAAAAAAATGCTTTGAATTTGTTTTGTTACGCTTGTTGTTATACAAAATGACAGAGAAGAAGAGAGATACATAAATTTAGGTAGAGAGAAAGAGAGTGTAAAAAGCAATTTTCTTTCATGGTTGTGAATTTCGTTTCCTAATTTAAGTTTCCAACTTAAAATGTGCATGCAGCATTTTTTCTAAGTCACAACAACAATACGCTCGACTTAAATTTAAACTCTTACCCAAAAATTGCACACTTCATTTGAGCACCACGGCTTTATTTCTCAGAGAAAACAAATGAACATAACGAAAAACTACCATTCATTTGTCAAAAACTGTCGAATTTTAAAGAATGTCCATATTTCACACAAAAGCTGACATCTAAACAAAATCCAATTCATTTCATGTAGAAGGTATAGAAATAAATCAAACGTTCGCACAATCTCATCTACGCATGCCATATATTCTAAGTAAGCATTTTCAGGGAGCTGTGCCCCATAATATGCTGCATCCCTCTACTTGCCGTACGAAAGCGAGTGTATGCGATACAGCATCATACATGACATAGCGAAGCAGTACGTTGATAGTCGATTAGACGGTGCATAAAATATACAGCATACATGTTAGATATGCTTTTGCGAACATTTTGAAATAAACCACATGCAAATTTTGAAGGTTGGCATACCATAAATGCTGACATATCCAAGCAAATCGTAAAATTGCTTAAAATCTATTTTATCAACGGATGTAGAGCAAAAAAAGAAGCGCATCAACAGTGTCAATGCTGCGCTTACATTACGATTGCTTTAGGACAAACACATAATTTCAAAAGCAAAACTGTATAATTAGCCAAACTGCAAAATATGCACAATGTGACTGTGTGATCGGAAATTAAGAACAAATTAATAGCATTAAATAAATTTACAAAATGGAGACCGAGTAGTACGATTCTCAAATTATTTTGGCTTAATTTTTTGGGGAAAGAAAAAAATGATGTCAAAATACCAGCGGTCGTTCTGAATGTGCGACAAATAATTACGGGCCCGCAGTATGTGTTTGAGCAAATATCTTCTCACCACTCATGAAAATATTTTATGAACATTTTTTGTCGATAACATCTATTTATATAAAATGTTTTTCATCGAATTGGGGCTTATAAAATATACAACTCTCAACTTAATTAACCAGCAACCGACTACTTTTTTACTCGATGCAATAACACAATTACTAATTAAAATTCTCCTAGAAATTCTCCGAAAAAAAACCACAAATTAAGAGCCATAAGATTTAGACGAGTTTATTGGCACATTTTTGAAAGCATGCTATGTTGGCAATGAGTTTTTCTCTCTCTATTTTCTCTATGCAAGGAAACACGTTTTTTTGTTTTTTTTTTTAAACTTTTATTGCGGCGGGGAAAAAAGTTCATCATTAAATTTAAGGAGTTTCACATCACATCACACTTTTACGAAACGTTTTTGCTGATGAACCAAATCAAAAAGCAAAAATCAAAAAGCTTTACGCTGTTTACTTCCGTTTCGATTGCCGCATTTACTCGGCTGTGCCTCTACGCTCGTTGATTTTAATGTATATGTAGCTGTACCGTTTCTTATCATATGGGCATGAAATTTTCCATTTTAAGTTGAATGTGAGTTCGCCATAAAATTATATATTCGAATAAAGTGCGTCACAATCACCATCGCCATCACCATCATCAACAACACCAACAATATTATTGGATTCGTGTTAGTGGTTACTTGGGATTAGTGAATGGAATTGGATCGAATTTGATCACCGGATAAATTTGAAAATATTACCTGTGCTAGTAATGATGATATCCTTGAGCCAAAATGAAGGGAAAAAATTCCATTTATAAGTTTTATGTATTACACCCAAATGATTTGATTGATTCGCCTAAATGGCGAATTGATTGTGTTGGATGAAACTCAAATGGAAAAAGGGCACTCAGTTTAAAAAGGTTAATTTATTTTCAGGTTGTGTGCCATTGGTGTTGCTGTCATTGCTACTTTGCTCTTTTACACACAATCCATAAATAGCTAATTTGCG